GCCGCGGTGGCGCGCCCGGGCGCCCGCGCGCGCGCGTGGGCGAGTTTTTTCCCCGCCATTTTTACCCAGCCGCCATCTCTCATCCAGTCTCTCGCCGACTCTCGCTGTTCCTCTGCCCTACCCTGCTCTGCGCGTCACCTGCGTCCTCCGCATCCCTTCCTGCCCGATTATTCCCGAATCCCGCTCGCTATTGTGTTCGCCTCGCCTCGCCTCGCCTCGCCTCGCCTCGCCTCGCCTCGCCTCGCCTCGCCTTGACTCGCCTTGCCTTGCGTCCTGTCCTGTATCGCTCGCGCTGTTGTCCTTCTTATGCTGACTTTTCTGGACTTTTTTAAACGCAGTACGTTGCGGCAGCAAGATGTCATATGATTCAAATTTTCAAGAATTAATTGAAAGTATATCTCTCACAAAAAATTTTTTTTTGACAATAATAGTTTAAATAATAATTTTGCTGCCACAACGGTGCGACGAAGTCAGCTTCAAACTCCGGCTCGAATTCTCTAGTATTGCTCCTGGTTTGCCTCCGCTAGCTCATCGCATTTTTCTTCTATGTCGTCCTGAAATTGTCGTTATTATCGTTATCGACATTACAATTGAGAAAATTATTCAATGTTAATTGAATGTTTCCGTAAAATATAAAATCTTACTCAGATAGCACAGAATATTTATAATAAATATTCATAAATATTTATTATTTATTTTTTTAAATATTATATAAATATTTTATACGTACTTCATATAAACTTTATTCGAAAACATTATTGAAATATAGATTACGTATTTTATATAATATTTATGATTAATATAAATAAATATCTTTAGCAAATATTTATTTGGATTAATAATGTCTTATTAAGTATTTTCACCCCAGATTTATAAGCACCCAATATTTATAAAATATTTACGAAATATTTGTAAATATTTATAAAATTTAATTTAAATATTTTTGTGGTCTTAGATTGTACAGATCATTTATTAAAAATAAAAGTTTATGAAATATTTATCATAAATGTTGTAATAAATGCTATAAAAATATCTAATAAGATATTATAATCCAAGTAATAAATACTTATTAGAAATCTTTATTTATAAATGTATTTACAAATATTACATTAAATATTTAGTCTATCTTTTAATAATATTTTGAATAAAGCTTTATATAAAATATGTATAAAATATCTATATGACATTTTAAAAAGTAATACATATTTATCATAAATATTCTGCGCCGTCTGGGATACCATTTACATATTGCAATATACATATGATAAATATTTTATAATATTTATAATAAATATTTATGATCTGTCCAATCTAAGATCACAAAAATATTTACGAAATATTAAAAATAATTCTTGCTTATATTAGGTGTTGGAATTAATTCGTAGCGTTTTACAAGTGATGGGAAGTACTTTCATTAATGTATTTTTTAATGCTCATGTGAAATAAATAACATTCTTTCATTTAAAAACGCTACGAATTAATTCCAACACCTAATAAAATATTTTCTAAATATAAATTATGCGTTTCGCGAATTTTCTCCATGTCCAGATCCATTCTTGGAATGCCAACGATTCGTGAACCTTGCAGTCCACTTCATCAGAACGAGGAGCAGCCTGATACTGTGCTCCTCGCCCTGATGAAATGGACTGCGAGGTTCACGAAACGTTAATATCCAAGAATGGATCTGGACACGGAGGAAACCCGCGAAACGCATAATCTTTGTATAGAAAGCACCGTGGAAGCCTTAAGAATATATTTTGTAAATATTTTCTTAGCATTGTTTGCTGTCTGGATAAAAATAATATAGCTCTCTGATTGGCGTCTACAATGAGCCTTATGTAAGAAATTATGTACGGCTTAAAGCTTAAGATTTACGCCTTAAAATTAATGTAAGACAGTCATAGTTTAATGTGAAGTAAATAATCGACTATGATTAGTAAATTTCTTAAGGCTTAGAACTTAAAACTTAAAATTTACGCCTTAAAATCTCATGTAGACGCCGTTTTATAATATCTTAAATAAATAATATATATAATATTTAAGACAAATGTAATAGGCTCTCTACAAATAAGCTATTGTTTACGTTTTAAGTCTTAAATCGTAAGAAATTAACCAATCATAGTCGAATGTGAGAAGAATAATCAATTGTAATTGGTCTATTTTTTATAGCTTGATACTTAAAGCTTAGGTAATGACTTATTGTAAAAAGCCTATAAAAATTAATAAGCCTCTACGAATATCAGTCTGTGATTGGCTTATGACATTTTAAGACTAAGACACTCTCAAATGTATTGATTATGAATATCGATTGTAGGATTAGCCTCGTTTTCTCTTTTCCCCGGATACCGTCCAATTCTTTTTTAGAGATTTAGAAATGTCCGGGGAGATTTTCTAAAGGCATCTAATTGTGAGCGTCCGAAATTTCAGGGAAATTTCTTCTAAATATTTTGCTTTGATTCCTCTTGCGCTATTCTATTATTCTGAATTTACAATAGATATAGTAATCCTTAAGAAATTGACCAATTGAATGCAAAAAGAACATTTGACCTGCGATCCGATTCTTATAGGCTTTTTATGCTCACAGCACTGTCAATGTTCTCACGTACGGTCGTCCGATTCACTCTCTGAACATTTTGCATGAGCGAAGTGACACTACAGATTTTTGAATTCGCGTGCTTACGGTTGATGTGAAAATGGGTCGGTGTGAAAGTCATTTTCACGGGAAAACGAGATCAATATGAATCTAAAAAATATCGTTAATATGTATCATTCATGAAACGCAGTTTATACTGGCTGCGTTCCATATAAAGCGCATATGTGTTATTCATTAGACGGTTAAGTTTCAGATAAAAAGATATTTGTATTAAGAATTGTATTAAGAATCACTCTAATATAGACTAAGCATGTCTGAAAAATAAATATCTACGTGGATATTTATCCAAAATAAATTACCGTGTCTTATATTTTTGTATTTAAGTATTATTTGGATAATTATAAAATTTATTTAAATTACATGTTTTAATTTAATTGTAAAAAGTTTATATAATCAATACACAAATCTTTTTTCTAACATATCAGAACAATATTTATAAATAGAAGACAATTATTTAATCAATATATGTTATCTTCGAATCCTCGAACGCAATTTCTCTCAATTATTACAATATATACAGCGCAGCCCATTCTGCAATTGCGTAAGCATAGTTGCATAAGTGGTTGCAGTTATAAGAATTAATCAATCAAAGTCAAATATGAGGAAAATATTCGATTGCGATTGGTCAATTCTTATAATTACAACCACTTACAGCTTACCGCTTACGCAATTGTAAAATGGGCTTTCTATTCATTGAATATCGATTGTGATTTTTACTAAAAGCAATATACAAATTATGTACCTCGTGATTACGTGAGATGATCCGAAACGCAATCGTCATTAGCGTTAATGAATCGGATCGATCGTTAGGGGCTGCGCACAATCAAGGAACAGAAAATAGAAACAGGAACAGAGAATAAGAATTTCAATCTATCAGAAACTGTGAAATTTTATAGTGCATCGTTTCTAATTGGTTGAAATTTTTTATTCTTTGTTCTTGTTCCTATTCTCTGTTCCTATATTCCTTGATTGTGCAGCCCCTTAGTATCGTACCAATGATTGATCAATTTCTAATATTAAATTAACACCCCTAATGAACAATTGAATGTGAAGTAATAATTATCCTTGACTATTCTTTGATCAATTGTACTAATCTACACAGTTTTATATGCGTCCGAAGTTGCAAGCAATCCAAACAGCGCACAATATTTATAAAATGTTTACAAAATATATTTGTAAATACTTATAAAACTTATTTTAAATATTTTGTAAATTTTTTGTGATTAGATTGCACAGATTATAAATATTTATTATAAATATTACAAATAATATGAAAAATTTATTATGTAAATATTGTAGTAAATGCTATGAAAATACTTAAATAAAAATTATAACTCAAGTAAAAAATATTAAAAATATATTTAAATTTATCATAAATATTACATAAAATATTTAATCTACAATTTAATAATATTTCAAATATAGCTTTATATGAAATATGTATAAAATATTTATGTGACATTTCAAAAAATGAATAATGAGTATTTATCATAAATAATATTCTGCGCTGAAGAAATGTTCGGAATTTTTGGCTAATAAGCTAAATAATTGGCTAATAAGTTAATTTTTGGCTAATAGCTTTTTGAAAATTTTAATATGACACTCTTATGTTAATATGATCAAAAATTCTTTTTATTCTCATTAAAATGCCATTCTGGACCTTTTTATTAATTTAATCAAAACATTTTTATCAGTGTATTTATAATTGTATCAAAAAAATATTCTGTTTGTTAATACAGAGACTTTCTATACTGATCACAAAATGTTAATGAAAAGTCCGTGTAAAGAATTCCATGTGCCAAGATATTCTTTTTTCATCTGTTTTCCTGAGAGGAGAGAAACTTTTTTTTTCTTTTCTTTCTTCGTTATATAAATAGTATAACATTTCTCAAAAGAATATATGATTTACAAAACGTAAAGCTATGAGATGTTTCCTGCTCGCAATTAAATATAAAATCATATTTATATAAATATGTAACTGCATGCAGAGTAAAAAATTACATAGTCGCTGAAAAGCAAAAATATATTACTATTTTAAAATTCAGAACGAACGATTATTTTACCGTTATAGTTTCATTGCCAATCTTACTTTTTATATGTATATATCTATGATTAATTAACAAGTAAAATAAGTCACAAATTCTTATTTTACAAATTCCATGTACATATGATAACGATATGTACGTATTCATGTTAAATATATATATATATTTATATAAATATATATATTACAGAATATAATACAATCATTATACACATCTTATATTAAAATATTTGCAAAACAGTTTGAGAAATGCACATATAACACATTTATATCAAGACAAATCTAAGTTTCTGCGTTATAAAAATAAAATTAGTATAAAGAATCTGCAAGATTTTAATCCTTAAGGGGGCATCTTTGATGACTTCCAAAAAATTTTTTTTGCTGATTTTTATTCCTACATGTGTAGAATATCCTCTTGTAAAAGGATTTTTTGAAATTCGCAATATTAATGGAACTATGAGTTCAAATATGAAAGAACGCATGGACCTTCAAACGCTTGCCGGCGCAACAGCGTTTGTAAATCCTGTTCAGGTTACAATTCAAAGAAAACCAATAGATGTCGGTTGTAGTCTAGTCTTTGAAGATCTTATTGAATTTTTTGAAGAAGAAGGTTATTATATAATCCCACATGGTGTTGCAGAATAATCGTAAGTGCATTGAAACTGTTGATAATATAAATAAAATAAAAATAAAACTTTAAACGCATTTTTCTCAAAATTATATTTTTGATGAAAGTGATAACTAAAAAAGTAATTAAGATAGCATCTTTCTTTTTCCTTTTGATCCTAACACTTTTGCGCATGGCATGAACTAGAATTAAGTTTTAACAACAAAAGTTCAATTTTTCATAAACAAAGAAGTAAGATTTTTTTTGACAAAAATCAAATCTTTTTTTTTAATGCCGTCATTTTTATAAATTTCATGCAATTCACTTTATTCTAGTTCATGCCATAGCGACACTCATATAATTAATAAAAATTAAAGAAATTTTCAGATCATTTGCACAAGTCACTTCTACCATAAAGGCAAGCGTTTTTCCCCTACTTCGATCCCCATTTTCAAATATCAAACTGTATCTTTTTATAAATAAAAAAATTTTTTGCTCTCTAAATAATTTCATGCAAAACCCCGTATTTCTCTATATTATATGCAACAGATTTTTTTTTAATTCATAAAAAAATTAATTTTACGACCGTCAAAGATGAAAGCCTCTTTAATAATTAATTGCATGTCATTCGTGTCCTGCACGTTTCTTTTTTTGAAAAATTAAGTAATATTAGTTATAATATTTATATACAATTTGTATAAATACACAACTTTATAAATAATTTCTAAAGATGTTAAGTATAATAAATAATAAGAATCACTTAACCCTCAATTATAGTGGTGAGGTACAAACGTACTCCACCGCACACAATTTCGCAATTATTTCTCGCGTGGCACAAGCAACGTTCCCATACAGTACAGAAACATTGCAGAAACATTGCAGAATGATTTCACTGAAACATTGTAATATTGCATGATGGTCGCGAAACATTGCTGAATCATTGTTGCAAAATTCCAACAATGTTAAGATGTCCGCTTTTTGTTATGTTGCAACAAAACATTCCAGCAATGTATTTGAATAAATTTGTTTACGAAGACTAAAATGAAAACTATTTTCTGTACATATATCTCACTAACTTTAATTTTTCTACAAATTGCATTTCTAGTGATATATACTTTCCAAAAACAATTTTTTATGATAAAACTATAAAATATTTCAATAAATGTAGTATTAATTCTGAAGAATAAATTTATTCGCAAGGATAAAGTATATATGTGTGTACCCCGAGCAAATCACAAATATTATTCACATTAACATAATAATATAGTCGTTTGATAAGTTAATCATGGATTAAGTTAATCCTAGTGATTCTTTTCAATTCGAAGTCATTCCGAGTCAATTAGAATCGATTAAAAAATAACGATATGAAATTTATCAATAAAGCTCGGGCGCTGATTTATTCCTGCGTGCACATTAGGCATAAATACATCATCGAGCACATAATTAATATTTCGATAAATCATTTTCAGTAATTTAATTATCCGATAGTGATGTGTTGATTGTATCCAAACTCGATATTATACAATCTTTTGATTTCATATTTAAAATAAATATAAAATTTAGCTAATGAAATAGCTGTCAAATAATAGATTAATAAATTTTTTATTTGAAATATAAAAATGGATTATATTAATTATTATCATAAAAACTGTTAAACCAAGACTGTACTACATAAATATAAAAAATTATATTTTTATATTATTATTATAGTAACAATTAAAGAATTACAAACAATATTAAGAATCTTTATTACAGAATTACAGTTTTGTAATGTTTCTGGAATATTATAGGCATATTACTGACATCTTACAGACATATTATTAATTTACATTTCTGTAATATCTCTGCAATATAACATTATGCAATATTGCAACTTTGCAACAATATTGCTTCAATTTTCTGTACTGTATAGATTGTCACGCCTTATATATTCTTAGTATTGGTTCGTATCTCACACTAGGAGGATACGCAACAGGCACTATAAACAAAAATATTATTTGTTTGGAGTACGTTTATACTTCGCGAGTGATGTTACGCAAGTATTTTTTATTTTATTTTTCTTTTCAGATAGTTTTATGCATGAATCGCAATATATTCAAGGAATAAATTTAAGAAGTAAATTATTCAAGACACTACTTCAGAATTATGTTAGTTGTGCGTGTGATGAATAGACATAGACTGTAATTTATAATCAAATGTGTATGTTTTTACTAAAGGCAAAACAGATTATTTTTTAGCCTTTCAAAATTGATGGTAATTTTTTTCCTTTATAGATTTTATCAATAAATATCTGTTGCTAGTAAAGTTCATTAGTAGACTGATTGAAAACTGAATTATAATCTAAGATTAATGTTATTGTCAAAAAAAATATCTTTAAGTCAACCTTGTTAAAAGTTAGAAGAAAATCTTTATTTTTATTATTTAGAGCTCTACAAACTTTATTTTCTATTATGTTTGTAATAAATGATTATTTTTTAGTTTCAAGATATTGATTTATTATATCAGACCAAACAAACACCAACTTTTTAAATTGCATTTTAGTTAAAACTCTTATTAAAATTTACAGAACTACCACACGGATGTGGTCGTGTTGGCCAGATTTTACCGATGAAGTTGAGGGTTAATAATATTTATTTATTTGTTAAAATGAATGACCAATATCGTGTGCAGTAGATTCAGAAAATTATCGTGTGCATAATATAAGGATTAATATTCTGTTAATATTTCTTAAGAAAAATCATTCTCGAGAAAAATAAGAAAAAAGAAGAGATACCTCGTCGAGTTGCAGGCATTTGCCCCATTCAACCAGCGTGATTTTGTGATCGTTATTGATGTCACAGGAATCGAGGAAGGGCGCGATGCAGTGTTCGAGAGCCATCAAGGGCGCCTTAATCGGGAAGAGCTCGTGCCTAGATACCGTTCGGTCATGTGGGTGGCCGTCCAGGTCGCACCACTTCCAAATAGCTGCATTCGACCAGCGTAAAGTGTGATTGGTCTCAGCTTCTCGCTGCATCTTCAGATAATGCGATGACAGCTCTTGACGGTCTGCCAAATCGCGCATGATGTTGAATAGCCAGTCGCGCATTCGCCTGGGAAAGTCGGCCATGTCCTCTTCCTTGCACATCTACGCGCATTAAAGAATTTTGTATATATATATATATATTACATATATATAAATGTATCGCGTAATCGAAAAACACTTTTAAAATACACATGCTTTTGATATTTTATCGTTGATAATTTTTCTATTTTTAACTCTCTAGAGCTGATACCCAAATCTGTAACACATTTACTGACGCTCAATCTGTATGTGTATAAAACTTCTTGGGGAATAATATGTTCAAAATGCAAACATAAGGGTATTTAAAGCAAAATTGTGGATCGAGACTAAGACGTCTTAAAGACATCTTTTAAACGTTATATTATAAAACATTTTAAATTGTTCTCTGAGCTCTATTTGATTTATGTCAATTAAAAGGCACTAATTAATTTCAAGAAATCAAAACAACTCGTATAAAAAAATAAATACTACACTGAAAGAAAAGATTGGCTAAATATGGTATAGCATTTTTAATTCGATGCAGTAGCCAATTAAAAATGCTGTGCCATATTTTACTATCTAATTTGCTGCAGCAGCCAATCTTTTCTTTCGGTGTGAGGATATTCTAATAATAAGAATAATACACAAATTTGTAGATGTTACATAAACAAATTAAATTTGTTGACTTTTTTTATAAAGAAATTTATAATTGAATAAATTCAATATACCTAAGTTAGCGCTCCGAAAGTTTAAAGTTATTTTCAGTCGGAAATCACTGAGATAGATACGCGAGTTAACAGACGGAAAAATGTTGTGTGAGTACAGTTTATTGTGTGAAAATAATGTACGGCTTTTTTTACAAGGACCGTTCTGTCACATCTGTGACAGAATGATACTTACAGGCATCTGTCGACACTCGCCATAGTATACGATGTGGACATGTTGATAATCGGGACCTCTGCACCTGGCGTCATCGGTGTCGCAGAAGCAACGCGCCTGGTAGACCTCACAGTCACTGCCCAAGGTCTCATTGTAGTTGGTGCAGACCTTGCGACGCGGATCGACCTCCTGGTTGCAGAGCTCCACGCAAACGCACTCAGCCGTGCCCTCCTCCGTATTCTAAAATCGAAGAAATTTCACTTTCCTTTTTATTCCTGTCTGTCTTAAAGAGAGGACAAAATTCTTATTTCATATTTTAAACACTCAATCTCTGTATATCTCTCTCGTTTACTTTCACGTTTGGCACTTAGGTCCATTTCTATCAATGTAGATTAATTTTAATCTCGATTCAATTTAAACTATTCATATTTTTCTAATTCTTAAAACCAGAAAAAGATGAAAAGTAAGTTGAATCGTAATTAAAATTAATTTACATTTGTAGAAACGCCTTAGTTGCATTAAGCATACGTTATTACTTTTTTATTAGAAGTTGACAAATCACAAAAATATAAATAAACAAATAAACGTTAAAATTGATGGATCAAATCTTGGCAGATAAGACTAAAAATTCAATTCTACAAAAAATTATTTCTTTGAAATGAAAATAATTTTTTTAAATATGAACAAAGAAATATTTCTTTAAAATGAAGATTTTTTTCAGTATAGGTGAATGTCAGAAAGCAATCTTAAGTTTCTTATTTATTAATACATATATAGTATATACAAATTGAATTATTTAAGCATTAAAGATCGTTATAGGTCTTTAATTCCCATTTCCTTATTGATTGTTTTCTTATTGATCGTCTTGTTCATATATATATATATATATATATATATATATATATGTGTGTGTGTGTGTGTGTGTGTGTATATGTAGCAATATAAAATAATTATCATTGATTCATGAATAAAAGAGAGCTTTCTCGACGAACCTTGCAAACACGTCCAGCGCCGCAATGCTTGTCCATGCACGGGTCCTGAAGCAAACGCTGCTGCTTCGATCCAACCTCGTTTCTGCCATTTTCAAGAATGACCTCAGCCTCCTCCGCCGTCGCCGCCTCCTCGGCTATTTCGTCAGCTTCCAGCATGTTCATGATCTCATCTTGCACGGGTGCCTCTGTCGTGGTCGTGCGACGCCGATATTTTCGTCTGCGCTAGGAATCGATTAATATAAACTTCGATTAATACTCTTTTTCTTTCTCTCTGCTTCGTACTTTGTAATACTTTTGACGATAGAAAATGAGCGAGTAAAATACTGTAGAAAGCTTTCCGTACTTCTCGCTTTGTCATTTCTTTTCCAAGAAAACTTTGAAAATTTCTCATTGTAGTGCAGAATATTTAAATTACTCAAGTTCATATCTTTTTTCTATAAATGTGTTATATTTAGCATTATCACCATTATTTATCTCTCCAAGTTTTTTAGAGTGAGAATCTTACTTTAAAAAATAAAAATTGAGCTAGTCTTGAAAGCACAATTTTCATTTTTCAATTTTTAAAAGTAAAATTTTACTTTTCGGAACGAAATTCACTTTAAAAGTTTTAAACCATAACATTTTACACAGAGAAATGCTAACAAAAAATTTAGACGGAATCTAAGGAATTAAATTAAAAAATATTATACTTTAATTTACAGTACTCATAAATATTGATGAAATTTATAATTATGAAAATTCCTGGTTTTTAAATAAAAGAATTTTTAAGTAAGGAAAACTCATATTACTTGCTAAATTAAAAATCATATATTCTGATATCTATTCTTAACAAAATAAACTTCATATATTTCGAACATTTGAAGAACAACTATTTTTCTGTTGTAATATTCATAAAGGAAGATTTAAATGTTCCCTACAAATTACTTTTAAGCGCTACTGCACTAAAAAAAAAAATTTAAAGATCTTAAAAACACACTTTAAAAAATATAAAAGTACTAAGTAATAAATATTTACTCAATAAAAAAATGATAGTGAAATCGAATTAATAATTTCTATAAAATAAATATATGTTTATAGACATTTAGTAAATACTTAAAACTATTCAAACATATATTTATTTTAAGAGTAGTTTAATTCTTCTAGTTTTTAAATTAAAAAAAAATTTTTTTTCATTTCTCTCGTTCGGCTATGATAATTTTGAATATAATGATTTTAAGATTGAAAAAATTATATTGCGATATATATTATTAAAAGATAATAATACCTGAGCAGATGACACGTCCACTATTAGAACCGTCACCAGCAACGCGATCAGCAGCAGCTGTAGCTTCGTCGACATTGCGATCTCTGTGATAAATTGATGATGAATATATGCAAGATGCCTTCCTTTTAAAATAATCGATCTAAAGTAGAATATGATCTCAATCTTAACGAAGTTTGATAGCATCCAGAGTGCAGTAGTATCTTTATAATTTCAGACACGTTCCCGTTACTGGCAATTTACAAGCCTCGTAAACTATGACCCATTCATTGTAGGATACATCGTATCTTCATAAGTCGCTCTAGAGAAGTTTGGCTCGCGTAATTGATCAAATTAACCACCACGATTCAGGAAGGAGGACTTAACGTAAACTATTTTCGTCCTCTACTTCCCTCTTAAGTAAGACCCTAGAAACTCGGATTATTATCAATCGAGCGAGAGCTTTACTTGACGATCGGATTCTATCCCTCGAGGAGCCATTCATCGAAAAACTTTTGAAAGCTCCCGAATTCTGTATTCGCCGCGAAAGCAGCTGGTAGAAAAGTTGAGATTTTTCTCGGAATAGATTCAAGTTTCTCGGTGCGTCGAAAGGGGTTAATATCCCTGAGCTAAATCGGGTGCAAGCAGGTTTGAACGTGTAAATAAGCCATCATTTCTCGCGCGTAATGCTTTATTGCCACGGCGTTTCCAGTTGATATCGGCATGAAAGACGAATGACATTTCCTTGCGACACTCGTACTAACTCGTACTATTTAAAAAAATCGACGATGTACGCACGCACGCACGTACGCACGCACGCACACATGGCACCGATCAACGCGAGCGCGGGTCAACGCGAGAGACCAGAGATAAATCTCGCGGGACCTTAATAAGAGCAACGAAGCGATAACCCAGATATTTGAAAATCAAATCGCTTTGGATACATCCGAGTCACGAGCGCTCTTTTAATAATAATATATAATATATAATATATGTGACTTTATTACGACGCTGTCTTTTCTTCGTACGTCGCACGCGACGTTTTGTCTCTTCGCTCTCGTTGCCTTTCGCGGATGATAAAGGGTGTTTTTTTAAGCCCGATAGATTTTTTTAAGCCCGATAGAACTTAAAATTGTAAAAACTAACACAAAAATTAAATTATAATCAAAAAATTTTTTTTAGTCGAAAGATCAATGCATGGCATTAACATTTGAAAATGATTTCGGGCATATGGCCACCGCGGCTGTTTAATTTAATTTTTTTTAAAAAACACCCTTTACAATCGGTTTACGCGTCGCGACTTAATTGCAGCGTTTTAATAACGACGAAGGACGCGCGCATGTAATGTAACGTCAGCAATTGGTTGCTGCTTTCGTCAGCGGTGAAATTTGAACGCTATGAAATTTGTACGAATTCGACTCATAGATTTACATAATCATGTAATCTCCGTTTAATGCGCAACTTTTATTTAGACGCAATATTACTTAAATATAAATATATTTTGATTTGAATATATTTCGATTGTCATATATATCCAATTGGATATACTTATATAAGTCCTATGTAGGTGCATCTTTTATTAATTTTTTTTTACACACACATTTCATAAATATTTTTAGAAACACGTATAAATATTCATAAACATATATAATTATATATGAAATATGTCCATACATGTTCATACAGCCTTCTTTTTTTTGTAAAATTACTTTTTAGTGTAGAAATAATAATAGTAATGTGAAAACATAAAAAATAATTAAAGAGATAATTTTCGCATTTTTGAAAAAAACAAGTTTGGAAAAATGTAAAAAAAAATTGCTCATACATAATTATGCATAATTTTATATATAATTATATATAAATAATTTTTTTACATTTCTCTTCAAACTTGCTTTTTTCTAGAACAAATAGTGCAAAAATTACTTTTTTAATTATTTTATTCATTTTCACATTATTATTATTATTTCTACTACATTAAAAAATAATTTTACAAAAAAAAAGGACGCACGAACACGTATGGATATATTTCATATACATAATTATACATGTTTATGAATATTTATGTATATTTACGTATGTTTATATATATTTATACATTTTCATGCATGAAAAATTTTTTACCGGGAGCTTTTAAATAAATACATTGTAAATATTTTTGGTAATACATTGGTAAATATTTCATTGATCTTAGATTGCATAGATAAACATTTATTATAAATATTATGAAACATTTATTGTAAATTTTGTAAATGCTGTGGAAATAATGAAACATAATTCAAATAAGAAGTACTTGACGGAAATATTTATTTATATTTATTTCATAAATATTACATTAAATATTTAGTCCATCTTTTAATAATATTTTGAATATAAAGCTTTATATAAAATACGTATAAAATATTTATATAACATTTCAAAAAATGAATTATAATAAATATTTATCATAAATATTCTGTGCTGTCTGAATAGGATCACAATTTAGTAAAAATCAATCCATTTATACAATGTATAAATATATATTATATTCTGAAAATTTTTAGAGTAAACCTTATTATAAATAATGTGAAATCTCTTAAAGATTGAAACTTTTTTTCATGACTAACTCGTCTTGAAAAGCTAGATATAAGATTAAAAATTCTTTTTATTTAGATTATACATATTATTTTCGATATTTTATTTAAACAATATGTCGTTTAAAGGATAAAAAAGAGTGAGAATGAACTTGGAAAAAGTGCTTATGTGAAATTTGCAATCTATGTATACATATCACCGAATATAAATAAAATATAAGTATCCTAATAATACTATGTATAGGCGTTTGGTTAATAAAAACACGAACGTTTCCTGTTATATAAACACAATTATTCGGCTTACTGTCAAGTGTTCCATCCAATTGTATTTATGAGATGTTACACAATTCGTTAAGTCAATGTTTCAATAAGCTCATGAATTCAGAGGATAACGTGCGCCATTTCTTCGCTTTCCACTAACCAAGGGATCACGTGATACAAACAATTGGAACCAAATACAAAATCAACGTGATTTGTATACTCTCTAAATTCTTCAGAGTGGAATTTCACTCTAAAGAATGAAAATTGAGCTAGTTTCGAGAAAGAATGTCTCAAGTTTCAATCTTTAAGAGTGAGATTCATTCTAGAAGAGCATATTTGTGCATTGTATGAACGCGCATCTATTTTCATATTAAATTGTCCTCCAAACAATTTTTTAAAATAAAACTTTCGATAAAAATTATCGAAAATTAATATAAAGTAAAAAATACGTCTGATATAATATATAATATATGTGTACTAATAGCATGATATAATATTTGTATATATCAAATATTATGTTATACTATAATATACAGTAGCTACACATATATATTATAGCTATTTCTGAATCTCTATTCAAGACCTGAATAATGTCTTTTTATAGTCATAAACCAACATAAACTGTAAAAAGATTTGATCAAATATGAAGTAAAAAAAAAAAATAATAATACACTCACACTGTCAGAGAAAAATGTACTACATTTTAATAAATATTTGTTTGAATAGTGCCAGTTAAATATGTACTAAATATAAACATATATTTATTTAGAACAAGAACAATTCATTTGGTTTAATTATTATTATTTTTTATTTAACAAATATTTCTCTCCTGTCAATAAATACATACAATTAATACATTAAATAATTTATTAAAATTTAGTACATTTTTCTCTCTTCACTCTACGTAATTCGTTTTGCGCATTTATAATTTATCAATTTAAATTTCTTAATTTTCATGGCTTTCTTCGTTGCCAAACCGACTACTGAATCAATAATCGTGCATTATCAATTGTGTAGTATCTATACAATAAGTTAATCTTATCGAGTATTCAAAAAATTACGTAATTCTTTATTTTAATCGCTACGTAATACGTAACCATGTAGCCAAGCTGAACGAGAGAAGAGTAAAGATTTCCATATGTAACGTGTTAAGGTCTCGAGTTTTCTCCATATGGAGAACGTGCCGGTCCCAACGATCCGGCAGTCGTCTCGACGTCGAAGTGTGCGTTCGCGATGCGTCGAAGTGCGTTCGCGATGCGTCGCGCGGTTTCTCCGGAAACGCTCGTTCTCCAACGCAGCCGCGCGCGTAGGAATCGAGGCACATGGCCCCTTTTTTTTTATCGCGCGGTTCGCCAACGTGGGCGAAACGTCTCTGCCAGTGGACGAAAGAAACGAAAATGTAATTCCTTTATAACAAAAAGAAATCGTGCCTTCACAGCTGTTATTTATCTTTACACGTAACAACGAAAATATCAGAGATGTTCCAATTTCTAAAAGATCAATCTTTTCAAACGACAATAGTGATCTTAAACCGATCTATTTTGCGAAAAATTGATTTTTCTAACTAAAAGAGACTACCTTAAATTGATCTCTTTGTAAAGAATTCTTTTTTTTAACAAAAGAAACTATTTTGAAGCGATCTTTTTGTAAAAAATCGATTTTTAGCGAATCGATCCGAAGATCGCACATCCCTAGTTCACATATCTATCGCAAAACTTGATAAGGACTAATCAATATAAACGCGGGTTCTTTACAATTACAGTTAAAATTATACAACTGAATATATCTAATAATACACAAGTCAGCAATGGGTGCAATTCAAAGCGCAGTGAAATAAAAAGCAATCTGCACGCGTAAATAACTGCAGAATAATCATGAATTTTATCAATTAAAATTAAAATTAATAAAATAAATACCACAATGCTTTTGGTTATAGCTTCTGAAAAAGAAAAGAGTAAATGGATGCATTATATAAAAATAAAACAAAATAAAATAAATACTCGAGTTTCTATTGTTAAAAAGGTGACTAAACGTTTGAAGTGGAACAGAATTTTCCATCGAAATAGAATACAATAATGTAGATGGAGTCGTGCTTGTGAAAATTTTATTCTTATTTCATTTTATTTTAAATTCTATTTACTTCGTCTATATTTTCTTTAAAGCAGTCATTACGTTCACAAAACGCCTAATCCCATAAAATTGGGAACATCATGAATGTTTCTTCGTTATTAGTCCTATGTGCCAGCTTCACCAACGCGGAATTAAAAGTTAACTAGTTTGCCGACGAGATACTCCAGTTAATATGCGTTGATTCGATTCATCTCGTTCAATCTGCTTGTCGACGGGCGGAAGTTTATGCACGACTTGATATTATTACGAATAATAAAATGTATGGAACGCATATGTATAAATCCTAATGGAAAATTGTTCGTAAATCCGTATCCGTAAAATGATTATAAAGGAACTGGATCATAAAAGATTGTTATAAAAATTGTATGTAATATGACGATGTAGGTAGAATTCGAACAAATGTTTTCAGAGATAGAAGTGTCTTTATCTATTTTCGTTATTCTTTCTTGCTTTTCAAAGAATGCTTTAGTATATTTATTCTTCTTATATGTAAGCTTATATATGAATATGCGTTCTTATTATGGAAGAATAAGAGTATTAAAAAATAAATTCGCGTCTTCTTATCGATCTTAGTTTTGAACTCTTGGGATATCATGCGGCGTAATATGGCGACATGAGAAGAGGTCGAATGAATGATCTACTGGAAATAACAAGTATAGGACATCACTTCTATTTTAAGTCGCTAAGAGAAAATTATGAATTTCGTTACTTTTAAGGTCTGCTTTCTACAACTAAACTGGTGTAACTTTTGGAACTTAAAGTGAAATAGATATATTTGATTTTTGGCAAAAACGAGAAAAAAGTTCTAATGCAGAAATAAAAATATATCTATAATTTACGCTACTCGTCGCAATTGATTTCTTTTCCATTCATAACTTTGTGGCAATTACAATAACCGATACAACGTAATGTAACTTTAAACATAATGCGAAAATTTGTAGTAAATAATAGTAAATGACACATCTTTTCCTTAATAATTTGCGCTTCAATAAACAAAGGATGTTGGATTTCCGTCCTAGAAAGGACACGATTTCCGAGAAATACATGACAAGAGATAAGTATTATAATTGTGAGTACGCCCACTGATATAAAACGTCTATCGTATGCAGTTCTTCACGTACAAATGACTCACATTAATCGCTGTGTGTGAAAATTAATATGGTTAAGACACTTTTATCGCGGTAATTTTATTTGGAGTACATCAGTTTTATCTTCTTCAGTTATTTCACTTATAAAGATACTTTCAATCTGACGATAAAAATTGATGGTGTAAACTTCGAGAAGCAGAAACTAGTGCTATTACAAGAAGCTCGAGGAATTTCGTTAAAATAAGAGAATCGCTAGAATCATTCATGAAAAGATTTTTCGATGAAGACCCTTTTCATGTTTGAATTCTGATTGCCAGCTACCTAGTGGCAGTCTCTTTATTTTCATATCTGTTATTATACATTTCGCAACTCAGACACATTCAGGTACTTACTTATTCTACAATACGATATCATTCTTCATTCGTACACAAACATCTAAAAAATAACTTTGCTACTTTTTTACTAATTCATACATTAAAAAAATTTAATGTATAAATTAGAAGTGTTAAAAAACGTCAACATTGTTATTACTTAGGAATATATACTTATAATCTACATTAAATGACATACTCGTAAAAAAGTATAATTTATTTAGAATAATTATTTTAATTATTTTAGTATGTGTGGAATTAATACACTTTTAAAACGTATTAAGATTAATAAGACGCACAAGATATTTTAATAGTTTTGATATTTTAACATAATCAACTTTCTACAATATAATGATCTATATTTGAATAGATTATTAAATGTAATATTTATATAGTACATTAATCGATAAAAATAGTGAATAGTGTTCGGAAATATTTTAAAGGTAGAAACCTTTTATATTTTTCTGAATTTGATATTTTGGCAAAGCAGTGTACGAAATGAAAATTCATAAGATTACCGTACCTCGCGTTGGCTTTCTTCGCAAATCGCTTCTGTCGTTCTCTTCTTCAGCAAGAAAGATTGAGAAAAGAACAGCCCTCCAAATCGGTCGCTGGACCGGTACAGACTGCGTTCGCGAGGCACATTGCGGCGGTGCCGCGCCGTGCCGAGCGGAACGCGCGGCCAGAGAGGAGAGATGATCTCATCTCTTGCGTTTTTCTCTCTTCCTACACCCTCATCTGATCTTTCTGCCGTACGCGTATGCGTATGCGTATGCCCCGCAGTCACATTCTTACGCAATACACGCAACCGATCACCTCGATGATATCTCAAACGTTCTCATTCGTCTCGACGAATTTCGACATTGGCACCCTCGAAGGGTTGCTCGGATCACTTGCAAAAATTCAAATAAAAAGTACTCTAATGAAGGGTGGTGTCAGTCCGAGCGAATATAATGAATCTTATAACAATCAACCTGTAACTTGTCTTAGTTATAAGTTTGCTCTGAAAATAATATGGTATTCTCTAAAAAAGTTTTCGAGCGAATCAAAATTGGCTCAATTTTCTCTAGATTGAAATTTCACACTAAAGAATTTAGAGAATAGATATTTTAATTGAAGTTAGGAAAATAATTGAAATGTAACGAAAAATGAATAATCATAGGGGGAATGCATTTTTAATCACAGCTGCAATACATCATACAATCGATAGTCGGTTAAAAAAATTAATAAAATAAAGAAAAAAAATAAAAAAACCCTGTATAGTATTTGTATTTTATGGAAAATTAGAAATTCTGTGTGCAGATGATATCGACATTATTTTCGTCGTACATTTTATTCTCCACCGCCATCAAATGCTGATGAATCGATAGAGTGCTCAGCAGTTTCGGCAAAGCCGATTATAGAGGAAATGTGACTCTATGCGCGAGACCAGCTAATAAAGTTCATACCAAACAGATAAGCGTGTTGTGATAAATAAAGAGATGCTATAATAGGGGTTGGTAGTATAAGGTAAGTATATATATATATATATTATACTAAATGCAAAAAGTTACAATACATTTGATGTTCGTTTTTTTCACTTTTTTTCTCCTTTAACATTATTCTCTCATCCGTCTTTTATCGCAGTAACGTTTCAATTGGTTATACACACAAACTGGCCTGGCAGACCAAAATAATAATGTATACTACAAAAATTCATAACCGCCGTCCTTTAGTTATTACAGTTATTTGTATTTTCTTCATATCCTCTGTCTCTTTTCTTCGTTCGTTATTATATTTATCTTTATTATTAATATTAATAGTTACTTAAAAACGGAAACATTCACACTAAAAATTTGCAGAGCTCTCTTTCAAGTTATGTAAAGCGATGATCTCGCGTAACTGCGGCTTTGAACACGTTGTACTTGAACACACGGATATGCACATGGATAAGGACGTAGTGAAGTCAAACCGCGCGCGTATGGTGTGTAATATTTTATATTAGGTGGCACGCGAAAATCGGAAGTCAATTTGCGATTTCAAATATTAAATAACTATGTCGCTCAGCTTAAAATACTCTCTCTCTCTCTCTCTCTCTCTCTCTCTCTCTCTCTCTCTCTCTCTATGTCTGCACGATTGCGCTGACTGATAAACAAGTATCGAATGTATAATCGATCTTAAATTGGGATAAAAATGATAGAGACGGTTTACCGTTTCTAACGTTCGTAATGTACAAGAGGATCTAGAATGACAATTCTCTCTTAGCCATACAAATATTCGTTTAAATATATGCTCTACATATGTATACAAAGTTGTGAAGCTGCTGGCACTTCAATATCTCAAAATCTCTCTAGTCACATTTATCTCTCACATACCGTGAAAAGAGAAACATTTTACCATTGCAGTATTAATTTAAAACTCGTTTTTTTAAAGCGATAAATATATTTACTAAACAAAGTGCAGGTTACTGCAAAAATTTTGCCTTAACTGAGCATGAATTGTATCTAATATCACCATACTATATTCAAGTTTAATTTCTTCTTTAACACTTTGACTGCTATATTTTACAGTTATGTGCACGATACTCAGTTTTCTTGGGAATTATGGCACTTATGTATACGAATGACTCTTATTTTAATTCGTATTTGTCAATGTGACTAAAGCGAGAGAGGTAAGATTCTGAATCTTTATGGGAATGCCATGGTTTCCAAGAAATTGCGGGTGAAATTTCAGTCGAAGTGTTAAGAATTTGTAACAAATAACGTGATCGCACCGTGCTTCAATTGGTATGTTTTACTTGATGTTAAAGAGGATGTCATGTAAAAATATAAATATGTCTATACAATAATTTTTTAAAAATATAAAAAAAAATATTCTTGAAAATGATTGTTTAATAGCTCAAGTAGATTTTCATATTAGGATAAAATGATTATAATTGAATGAAAGGAACATGAAAGTGACCTATCTTAATTTTGCGATCCTCTCTTTCATAATCACATACGCAACATTCTGCCGCAAGGAAGAGAGAAGTGATAAAGTTGAGTGCTCCATCCTGTATATTTCTAGTTCAGATTTAATGACCAATTTTTCTTTTTTTTTTTCGTCTTTTTTTTAACAATATTAAAGTATGCCAATTACGTGATAACTACCGAAATTCCGGAAAACGTTTCCACGCGTTACTAAACTAACTTATAAAGAAGTAGGATAAAAATGGATCGAACCTTCATTACTTCCTACGTAGCGCTTTTTTTTATAATACCTATAACGGAAAGATAGGCTTAAGAATTGCGAGATATTATATATCCAACGAGAACGCATGTTTGAGATGCTCGTTGGTTTTACTCGTCCTTTTTTATTTGTTTTTAACTACTTTCCGAAAAAAAGCAAATCGCAGCTACGCGAAACCTATCCCTTTGTCCGCGTCTGCGTCAGAGCGGCCGCGTTATCATCGCCGCCATTGTCATTATATCATTGTCATTTATCAGTCTGTCATCGTCATCGTTATGTCGTCACTGTCCCGAGTCTTGTTAAACGAGACACTAACATCGCATATAATACTACATGACGAATATTAATCCCTAGAGTGTACGCTTAAAAAAATGTAACGTTAAACGAGGCGGAGCCCCCGAAGAGGAGGCGCGGTCGCCGTGTCCCAGACGCGGGGCATCGCGACGAGTTTTTTTTTACTTTTTTCTTTTCAATTACAAACTACTGCGGATATATCGCGCTCGTGCGTGATCTACGTTAACAATCTCCACGATGATCTTGATCACGACGATGAAGAATACAAACTTTCTTTCTCTCATGCTCTCTCTCTCTCTCTCTCTCTCTCTCTTCATCGGTCTCTTTCTCTTTCTCACTACTTATTGTCAAATGCAAATTTTTAATGTTCTTTCTTCATCAAAACATAAAAAGGAAAAATTAAAAATTTGCTTGACGTTACTTTCTACTACAGTATCGCGCGGATTTCAGACCATTCGTTTCCAAAATTCCGTTAGTTTCATAAAGGAATGAAGGCTGATAGGCCAGGAGAGACGCATCGCCCAATCTCTAATAATCACAGGATCCTTCTCGTGCATTGCTTGTGAGCGTTGCTGACTAGAACTCTTGTTTCACTTCATACTCTAAGCAGTCTACGACATATGAATGTACTTCGTCAAAAAAATGTGAACAGATAATATTGTCCCGAGAGAAATTGGTGCATCATATTCCGAAAAAGTTGTTGCTCACATAGAACGAAAATGTTCTGTCGCTACGCTGGACGCATTTTCGTACTGTATGTATGGTTTTAATGCTCACATTTAATGCTTGGCGTAGTACGAATTCTGTGATTACCAGAAGACATTATTGACCCTCGTGAAAACGCTGTCATGCAACTGATAATTTAGCGATCGGGCGATACAACGTCAGACCATGCGCGTGCGCGATCCTTATTAACTTTACCTAAACGAAAGTAATAATAAGTATGTACGTGAAGGGAGAGGGAGGTAGATGCTAGAAAGAGTCTAGGAAAGAGGACAGAGTAGCGCAGAAAGTGTTTCTAGAAGAAAAGGGATAGGGAAGGAAGGTAAGACCAGGAATAAGATAGGCACGAACAAAAAGTTCCGAACTGTAACGAGACGCGGCCAGGATTGTTTACTTGTATGCGGATGGAGCAAGGGAAAATGGCGAAACCAGTTACTGCAGTTTAAAAGCATTGTCCTGTCTACGATCGGTACCGATCAATCGATGATCGGTAATATAAATAAAGGAGAAGATCGTAGAAGAGAAGAAACTGTCGCCTTTCTTTTTATTTTTTTTCTGCCGCGTGCAACCGGGACACAGTCTTGGGATCCTGTAGTCGTTTCGTCGGGATTTGTTCTGTGCGATTTTTATCTACGCTGATTCTTCACTTGGGGCAACGGGACGTTTTCGTTAGCGGTTGATGAGTCGACTCAAAAGCGTATGAGATTTATGCATGTCACAACGACACTCCTTCATTCGCTTCGCTCTCGCTTGGTCGCCCCTCGCTTAGTTATGTGGTGTGTGTGTGCACTGGAATTCGCTCCGCTGCCTTTTCGTCCTGCGATTTGGCGAGCCGGAGGAAACGCGCGGAGTGACGAATGTTGCGCACTACTCTGAAACCGCCTCACAAAGAGTTTCGACACAATTTCCCCGATTTCAGATCACGTTCCGTTGCCTTTTTCCGCACTAAAATTTGCCACACTCCGACAACGTTCTCCTGTATGCTCTTCTTGTCGCACGGTTGCGCGTGTATGTGTATGTATGTGTCTATGATTGCGTACGAGTACTTCGCGTCGCAAAGTTCTACGGGATTGCCCGATTGTCGATGTACGAAGGACGAATTCGAACCAATGATCATCGTCTGACCGATGATTTCAGATACACACACCACTAAGCTCAAAGTCTCGTGTGAGAAGTGATCCTCGGTCGAGATTTCGATTGGCACGTCATCCATGTTCGAGCTCATATTTCGTATGATTCTTTTTTGAGCTACGTCAGCTAATATCGGTTGTTGCTGTTGCTTGACGAACGTTGCAAGCGACGTTTAGCATGAGATTGGCGTCAGTGATGAGGTCGTGAGACATATGAAATAGTCCTGGATTCCGCTTCTTGAAATGAAGATGGCAGATGTATGATGGTACCGGTGACTTTATTCAGTATAGACGAAATTAGAAGGAGGCTGTGGCGTAGTATGGCCGGTATTAGCGACGATTTTGGTAGCCGGGATTACTCGGATTGCCTGGCTGTCGCATGCCGCCACCCCTACCGCCGTCACCACCTCGTGAAAAACCTCCACGGCCACCCCGTGCACCGTGCTGTCCACCTCTCATTACGCCTCCGGGTCCACCTGAATTAAATCAATAATAAAGTGGTAAATAAAAAAATTTTACTGAGAAAATTAATAAATTGAAGAAGAATAATCTAGAAATTACCTGGTCCACGTTGTTGTTGTTGTTGTTGTTGTTGACCACCCATGGAGCGCATGCCACCATCGCCGGAGTTCAATCTGCCACCACTACCATCCAACATGGGCCTGGGTCTCACCTTCTTTTCCTCTACGTTCAATTTTTGTCCACTCTCGTCAGGATAATAAATGGGCTGAAATGATCATAATAAAAGCAACAAGTTCTATCTTTATTAAACGAGATGATATATATCTAGGAGGCAAACTTACCAAGGAATTTAACACCTTAGTCACAACCTGTTGATCCTCGAACGTGATAAATCCATAATTAGGTACTCGAGCGGTATTGTTTCCTTGCGGTTTACATCTGTCATTCGATTTACTATGCACGCGTAACTCAGCAACTCTACCATAACGTTCGAATACTTGACGCAAATCATTTTCAGAGGCGTTGTGTGGTAAGTTGCCCAGGAAAAGTTGATGAGCGTCGCTGTACTGTCCCGGTCTTGTGCCACGACGTTCTCCATCTAAGATAGATAATTACATGTAATTATGTGCAAAACAAAATCCTATTTAAAAAAAAAAGAAAATGAGAAATTAAGTAATTAAGATAATTAAAAAATAATTAATATAAAAATAATCAAGATTTATAGGAATGTGCGGCTAAAAGAACTCATTTCCATATTATTTTAAACATGGAAGTTTATATTCTGCCTCCTAAGTTATCTTATCTTCTTTTTTTTTACCTTTTCCCCTTTGTATTAGTCCCCTTTGTACTAGTTCCCAGTTCTTTTTACCTCTTTGAACTAATCCTCCTCTCGGAACGCGTTGCTGCTGAGGATGCTGCTGTTGTTGCGGTGGTTGATTTCCGCCCACTCGATGCGCCTGTTGCTGAACTGTAGATACATTATTGGATACAGACATAGATGTCGGTCCGTTATTTGTAGGATGTAATGGCGACCTATCGTCCAGACGTAGATTCGTCATAGGTGGCTGCGAGAAAGAAAAAGAAATTTATTCATCTCTTCTTCATATCATATATATTATAAATGACATTATGCCAAATGAAACTTACCGGAGATATGGATAATTTAGGAGCTTGAGGACTAGTAGCACCAGTAGGACCGCTTGGGAAAGACTTTACCAAATTAGCATACGTTTTGGGTCCGCTGCTGTTGACAGTAGCGCTGGATACCTGATGTTCGGGTTCGGTCTCTTGTGCGGATGCAGTAAATGCTTCTGTCTCAGGCTGCTCATTTCTCTCCTCTGTCTGGGCCTGTGGCTCGTTCTCACTTTGCTGTTGTGGCTGCTCGCCATTGCTGAGCTCTGCCTCCTGTACAAACTGAGATTGAGCAGCTGGTTCAGCTATATATGGATGTTGCTGTGCAGGAGGCGGTGGCGGCGGTTGTTGTTGTTGTTGTTGCTGCTGCTGCTGCTGCTGCTGCTGTTGCTGCTGCTGCTGTGGCGCTTGTTGATTGATTACCTCCTCGTGCACCGTTCCGTTTAATACTTGCTGTATCACCGGATGAACCTTACCAGTAAAAACAAAAAATAGAAAATTGCATAACCCATAATAAATTATAAAATCTGGAAAATTTAATTCTTTGCTAATTTAAATCTGAGCATATAGAAAAAACTGTTTGCATTATGCAATATGTTTGCAAATTTAACCTTTAATCGGGCGCGCCGCGGCACTGAGTGTCGCAAAACTTGTTTTTCTGAAAAATCATTGATAATGCAAGTCTTTTTTTATTACCGACCTTCGGTATTCTTCATTTAACGTTAAATTTTATTATTATATTTATTATAAATATATTTTACTTTCTTTTATGAATATTATTCAATTATTTATTCAATTATTATGATTCCTAAATAATAAATTTGTTTTTTTTTATGCGACACTCAGTGCCCATTAATATTTGGCCAGAAGGCGCACCTAGTTAAAAAACCTTAATTTTTCGACAATGCAATAGAAGATCGGATGGTATCGGATAAGAATTGTTCATAATTTTAGACGCATATGGCATTTATCAAGACACTGGCAAATCTATTTGTGAGAACCAAGACCTCTCCATATTAAGAATAGGGATAGTATTGTTTGTGAGTTGTTTTGTATTTTATTTGTAGCTGTTTGTTTATACTAGCACAAAGTTAACTTTAGCAATCAGTCACATTGTAAGTCAAATTTCATTTTTAATTCACAATACAAGCATATATTCTTTAAATTGTGTGTTTAAAATCTTTCTTGTTTTATTTCGTTTCATAAATTGTTTTTTCAGTGAATGTAATTTAAGTGATATCAGATAGCCTTAGACTTGCCTTTGACAAACTATGTTTTATTCTAAGTGAATATGGAGAACGAGGCAAAGAGAAGAAGAAAATGTAAGTTGTTAAGAAAGTAAGAGATAAGGAAATGATGATAGAGGCGAGAAAGCGATATTCTGTTTCAAAAAGTATATTAGGAAATAGATTAAAAGCTACTGAAGCAAGAGATAACATTAAAATCATGCACAGATAATACTATAGGAACTTTTCAATAAAAGTTTTTATTTTTTTTTATAAATATTTCTGTCCAATGTCGTCTTCTAATTTAAAAAAAAAACCAAAAAAATATGATCTTTAAAAAATGTAAAAATTTAAAAATGATGATTTTTAAAAATGTAAAAAAGGTATTTCTACATTAAGAAAAAAAATTATAAGGGTGCTTTGATACAAGAATAACGTTTCATATACTTTTATGTATACTATACGTAGTTTTTGTTATCCAAAAAATGAAATTTTGGAAAAACATAAACTGTCCGATACTATCTGACTTCCTTTTACATTTTTATATTTGTTATACTAACATGTGGTTGGGGTGGCGCAGCGTAATACATCGGCTGCTGTTGCTGCAGCGGAGGTTGCTGAGTCGGAATGAGAGGTGGTTGAGCTTGCTGCTCAGTAGCTTGAGCAGGAGTCGACAGTTGCTGTGCCTGAGTTTGATGTTCATCTTCCTCAGGTTCAGATCGACCAATTTCCTCCACTTCTCTTTCACCACTCTCACCACTATCTCCAGCACTTACATCAGCTTCATCCTCATCGGGGAATATCAAGTCTTGATAACGGAAGATATCATTGTGCACATAATAAGTTTTGGGTGCTTGCACAGCCAATACGAAAGTCTGAGTGAATCGACGCATTGGTTGTCCGGCGTTAGACAGTTCTCCGGATACCTATATGACAATAAAACATGAATATGTAATTACTTGTAAGTAATAATTACATGTTTATTAAAATCATCATATGCTAGGTTTCATAAAAATATGATATTTTAAGTAAATTAAAGGCTATATAAATATTATTTAAAAAGTGAGTGGTGTTAAAAAATTAATGATGCTTCGTGAAGATATATGCAATATTTTAATACATATTAAATTTCTATTATTATATTCTATTAAAAAATAAAATACAATTGTAATCATATCATCGTTTCTGGTGCTAATGTTAAATTCTCATCTTAAAATTGATGTAATTTACCTGGACAACAACCCCATTTTCAAGAGTAAGCTGAGAATCAACTTGGCTTATTTTGGCATGGCAATCGCGAAAATTCAGTTGTTGAATCTTCTGATGTATTTGTTTTTGACCGATCGCCGGGGTACACTCTCGATTAGAATCCAATCCGCCGTGCACGAAGGAAGAATGCTGATTGTAGAACCTAATCGTAAAATTTACAATTATTGCGGCGTTCGAAAAATATTCCTACAGGGAATAACGCGTTGCTCCATGAGGAGCAATTGACTTAAAACATTTGTTCGTATTACTTGCACTTTTTGCGTTCAGGATTTTCGCTTTCTCTCTCAACAATCGAATATATATTTATCTCATTTAAAATTTTTGTGATTTCAAGCAAAACGAATAGACCTATAGTTGACAGATCCCGGATTCGATTCTGATTCTTAAGATGCTTCTCCATGACAGTCGGAATTTTGGAAAACAGAATCTTAGAAATCATACGATCAATCAATCATTTAAATTTAGCATGTTGTACAAACGAATGATTATGATTGGTCTTATTATTTGGATTGGATTATTTTTTCGAGATTCCGCTTTCCGAAATTCCGATTGTTATGAGAAAGCACCCTAGGATGGTAATATATTATTCCATATATGATCAGAGTCATAAGAGGTTGAAATATAAACTCGCTAAACACACATGTTTCTTGCGACGCGTGTTTTATATAATCAAAAAAATTTTAAATATTATGAGAGAAAATGTTAGAGGAGACTTATGTGCAATAGTTGAAAGGCACCAATGTCTGTTTACTATTATTTATTTTGATCTTATTTTTTTTTATTTATTTATTTTTATTATTGTTTATTATTAAATTATTGTTATTCCTTGAATAAAATTTGAGCTTGTTACAATAGACAAAAAATCTACGGCATAAATTAAATTGGAAAAATATAGCTTAGACAACATTACCTGTGGAGATGGGCAGGCGCCTGATTCAGCAATGTATAATACTGTCGGACGAACTCACGACCGACACTCTGCGGAGAGGGAGATGCCTCCATGACCATCTTCTTACTTTTTAACTTCTAGAATATTTTTTCACTGGAAACAGCAAACTAAACGTTCAAATGTAAA